ATCTCAGCTGTGCCATCTTTCCTAATTTGAAAGGCAGAATGGTATTGATCTAGAGATTACAGAAGTTGCTATAGCTGAATATCTGTTTTTCTACTTCTGGACACATGATGAACACATCTCACTAAAGCAGAATAATCTCTAGTTATGATTCTTATGACTGCAGAAACTGCCTAAAACGAGTGTATTGTGTAAACTGAATTACTGAAATTAGGATGTCAGAGAATTCTGTCAGAAACGGAAACTGGAGGAGAAATTGTTGCAATTTGCATGCTTGCTGGAAACCAGCAGCAGTAATCATGCAGGTGAATATAAGCAATATTCACTATTGTTTTTTCAGTTCTCAAATGCTACTTAATTTTTTTCCTGCTATATTTTTGATGTTTCCCTTCCATTGCAATGCACTGAAATTGATTATGTAATTAATGGCTTGTTTTGGCCACAGCTGATAGTGATACAAATGACACAGGTTTTAGAGGAAATATATATAATTTTTTTCAGGTCTTTTGAACTGTTGGTGATTCAGCTTGAGTTGATGCTGTGTGAGAGGGGGATGCCAGTCTTTGCTTATGAATCCTGCTTTCTCAAACAGCATTGCAAAAATACCAGTATTTATATATCTGTAGATATATATACAGTATTTAAATCTGTAGATGGGTTCACAAAAACAAGTTCTATATAGTTTCTCAACAGGCAGAATATTGGGGTATATGACTATGAACTTTATTTTGGATGGGCCTTTACCAGAAATAGCTACAGACATTCCCATGTTTGCTGGGAAAATAGCAAATGACATCACTAGAAACAGCCTTATATGAAGTCAGATGATTGGTCCATCTTGTTCAGTACTGTCTATGCTGACTGGCAGCTGCTCTCCAGGGTTTTGGAGAGAGGACGTTCCCAGCTCTATCTAGAGTTGCTGGGGATTGAAACTGGGGCAATCTGCATGCAAAACAGATGGTTACTACTGTTCTGCATAGATTCTAATGTTTATAAGACTGACCCAAGAATCCATTTTTATTTTAGAGGTTTAATGTACAGTACCGGAATCACAAGGAGTTCTGTCCCAGATTTTTAGCCAGTAATGTGGAAGTCATTTAATGTATCACTGATGCAGGGGGCAGGCACACCGAAGGAACGGCTGCATTAGCGTGTTACATTTGTCTAAAATTACATTCCTGAGGACCCATTCCATATCACAGTTCATAGCTGCTTACAGTCTTACTGCACTGCTTACAGTCTTACAAAAAAAGAGGTGAATTTCACCCTATTAATAGTCCCTATTTTAAACATTCCCTGTGTGATCGTGGACTAATCATATGTGCCAAAATCATAAAAGTAACAATTCACTGACTGTTAGTGTAATAGACTAGAAGTATTGTGGAATTTGGTCTACCACATAGCAGGGAATAATAGCTATTTTATTTTCATTTCTAACTTGGCTGAAATGACTATTATGAGTCTCCCACACACATTTTTTGGAATGCTGCAGAACCTCAGCACTGGTCACCTGCACACTCTAATTGCAGTTCTACACTCTTGCCTCCCCCCCCCCCCAAACTAGTCAATATTTTGTGCCTTCCAAAACCCCTTAAACAAAAGAAGACCGATTCTTTTGATTCATTGCACTAAATATGTATCAAACATGTGGCTTTTCATCAACATGTGGCTTCTGGTACCAGCCACATTCCTACGATAATGACCGCTCCTCATATCAAATGGGAGGCACCTTTTGCATGTTTGCACGCAGGCCCCCGGATCCCAGTTCGGCCCCTGGTAGTTTGGGCTGGCTTCACCCTCCCCAGGCTGGATACCTAGAGGTCTCTGCCTACCTCAGCCAATCGCCCAATCCTGCCTGGGGAGGCGTTGCCAGGGGATCAGCTAGGTAGGGGGAGGGACCGCCCTGCCCACACAACAGAAGGTGAATTTTACCTGCGAAGTGTCAGTTGGCTCCAGAGCTTCTCACACACTGCCCTCTCTCAGTTAAGTCTTCTTTTGCAGGTTGATATCTTCTCCACAGGTACGCGGGCGCTGCTATGTCATGGTCACTGTTGAAGGGCTGGAAAGGAATTTTCCTGCATTGGCAGGCTTTGCCTTTCCCATAGCAAAACGTCACAACTTTGGTAGTTTCCGGCCTTGAGCGGAATCCTTTAGTCTATCTTCCTAAATGGGGGGGGGGCGTGAAGCAGTGACCCACGCCTCCCTTGCAGTGGTGATCCCAGGGTTTCCCGTTAAAGGGGTCTTGAGGGGAGGCATTGGCCATACGCCAAGAGGTTGTCATCGCTGTCTCCTCCAACGGCGGTGAAACGGGGGACGGCCTCTCTGCTTGAACATATGTTTTCCAGAGCCAGCCCAATCCCCACACATTCTGGATAACCCTGATGTCTCCCAGATCCCCAGCTGGGGACTGGGAAGGATAAACGCCCAATGCCTGAGCCAAGGTATCCCTACATCTGAAATTTAATAAAGTTGTGGCCAATTTTAATCCCATAGCACGTTGTCTTGAGTCATTATTCCGCTCAGTGGTTGGCTGGTGTTGGGGGGGACTCTGCCTGTCCGTGCAAAAGGCATTGTTGGGTTTATGTGTGAGACAAGCACAGTGCTGGTTATGTTGGGGGTTTTGCGCTGAGCCTCAGATTTCCTCCTCCTTACCACTTTTTTTATTTTTACACTTTGCTTACAGGCTGGCTGGGCATGCTGCAAAGTACAGTAGTCGTAAGACCCCAGTCATCTCAATTTGCTCAAAGACCTAAACCCATATATTCACATACAAATCAGCACATGCTAATATTATGCAAATACACCGTGGGTCTATACTCTGATACTTAGAATTACCAATTGTGCATTATAAATTATTGTAACCCACCCTGGGGTCTTCGGGTGAAATATTAATGTGTTAGTCACTTTAACTTGCTCAACACAACTCATAGTGACTTACGACCAAAAACAAAGCACCCACAGAGATAATAAACTGGGTTAGTGTGGGGAATTCATTAAAAATATCTCACTCACTTCTAAAGGTCACAGGCAGTTAGAAGGCCTGGATTTAGAGGAAGGCTTTTCCTGGTGCCTAAATATATATATAATGACATCAGGCAAGCATCCCTGGGAAAGTCACAAACAGGGAGCCAACACTGAAAAGACCCCGTCTTGTGTTGTCACCCTCTGGACCTCCCACAGAGGGGGCACACAAAGAAGCACCTCAGATGATGATTGCAGGGTCCAGGTTGGTTCATATGGGGAGAGGTAGTCAAAAGAGAATGAACCTGGTTTGCCACCACTTACTTAAGAACCTTGACCCCAAGGGGCAGATTAGCAATACCCAGCAGCACCCTTGCCTAGCATCTCACCATCTGAAGAAAGGCTGGTTGAACTGGTATATGTGGTGGGAATAAAGAATATTAAGTTGTTTTAAAGGAGATATACCGTATGCTGAGAGTTAAGGATGGATGTGCTAACAGCAAACACACATTCCAGTGCATCTAAAGCCCCCATCAAGAGCATTAAGCATGTTCTTTGTTAGGATATTTCCGTTCCACCTTAAAAGGGAGCAGGATGTTTGTGTCACAGCCTGTGTATTTCCTGTTCACAGGATGTTTCTGTTGTGTCTATGCTTTCGTTTCTCTCTCTGTGTGTCTGAGACACTGAAGCTGGCAGTCATGCTTTTTTTGTTCTGACCAACGCTGAATAAACTTGTAAATAATGCTCTCCTGAGTGCATCTTTCGCTGTGCATTATCTGCTGATAGAGCGTGCATCAGCTCTGGAATGTGGCAAGCTATTTCCTGGAGCTCGTGTCGCTAATTGCTGATACTGTATCTACTGGAGATCGATGGGTCGCAACGGAGACGACGTGGAGACATGATGGACTTTGTCTCCCTGGCAGTATCCCAACATTCTTAACTTTGAGAACAGTCACACCTACCACTCAAACTTTTAAAAGAATCTGAGAAAAAGGAAAGGAAACTGAAATCAGTGGGCACAGGTTAAGATCAGGACATTAGTCTGTTTTTCAGCGACCCCATGACAAGAGAAAGAGAGAGAAAATGCTTTGGAGGCACTTTGATGCTTTATCACCTTTGAGACAAGATTGGAGACATCCCCCTCCTGGAAAAAAATCTTTCTGGTTAAGACCATAGTGGTAGTCATTTACCCACCAGGAAGAAATAAGTGCCCCAGGAGCTGAGTTAATTCTGAGTGTTTGGGGTTTTTTCTTTTAGCTCTCTATCAAGGTCAGTCTATAGCAGTTTCATCCTTCACCACTTTCCCTTGCTCTGCAAAAAAGTTTCTAGTGGACAATGATATTGATGACAGAATTTATGAAATACAAGATGGCAAAAAAATGACAGAATCAGCTGAGAGAAAAGTATGTTTGAGCGACGGACACTGTTCCAGGGTCTCAGCAAAATGTGAATCAGATAGATAAAAGGAAATATTTAGCATTTCACTGTATCAAAAGCAATGGAAATAGTACCACTGGTATTATTATGCTCCTGCCAGTTACTTGAATCCTGTTCCATAAATACACATTTTGCTTTTCATGGTTCCATTTGCACTTTTTCCTTTAAACCATATTCCCCCCCCCCGCTTTGTCACAAATATGACAAATACACACATGAAAGCCTCTCTAAAATACTTTTCTGAAAAATGTTTACATCAGATTATTGTTCTTCAATTATTGTACATTTGTCGGTGTCCGTAGGGCTTTTGGTGAATGTACTGATGGCAAGGATTCTCTCTGCCCTGGTTTGAAACCTTTGCTGACTTCTTGGGTGGCCATCAGAAAGTCACCAACTCTTGATGTATTTTGGATTGGTGGGGTTCTGTTTTACTGAGCTTTGGCAGAGAGTATAAGTTGCTGGAGGGAATGAACTCCATGAATGAAATGAATTCACCAAAAATTGGGTGGGAAGCACCCCAAACTCTAGAATAGGTTACAGAATCCTCAGAATGGCTCCACAGTTGAGTGATTATGATCTACTGAGCCCTTCTAGATTGCTGGAATGGGTAGCAAAGCACACATACCACTTGAAACAGTTATGGCTTCCCTGAAAGAATCCTGGGAAACTGTCATCTGTTAAGGGTGCTGAGAGTCATTAGGAGACCCCTCTTCTCCTCTGAGAGGAAAAAGGGATTTCCTAACAAATCTCTGCTTGGTATAGAATCATAGGATTGTAGAGTTGGAAGGGACCCTTAGGATCATCTTGTCCAACTCCCTGCAATGCAAGAATATGCAGCTGTTTCATATGGGGATCGAACCTGTAACCTTGGCATTATCATCACCATGCTCTAACCAGCTGAGCTATCCAGGTAAGATATTGCTTTAAATGGAAAGTGCCTCCCACCACTCCTCCTCCAGCCAGTCCCTGACAGCTAATTTGACCCCCATCCATCCACACAAATAAACAAAACAAAACTAGGCCCATAACCTGTTGCAGAATAGGTTTTTAACTCACCACACTGAAGACAGATACGATCAGAACCTTTAAACTGTATATTTGACTTAACATCATCAGCCATTTCTGGATACAGCAGGAGCAAGCAAGAAAGTGCAAGAGAAAGTAAACGGAGGACTCAGGAAGGCAACTTTCTGTTCCTAGATACATTAACCACTTCATGGTTCATTTTATCTCAGTACAGTGGGTATTAATTAAAAGCTGTTTCTTATTCCAAGACATTTCAGGTTTTATGAATGGGCAGCTGCATGTTTGAAGAACCCTCTGTGGATAAATCTCCTTGCACACAAAGAACTACCACAGGGAGAAAACCCAACTACCATGAAAAGTTACATGGAATTTGTATAGAGTGATTTAGTTGCATCATTGGTTCCTGAACCTAAATTGTACTTTCCACTGTTCACTCATGCTTTACACATTAGAATTATGCTTCTTGGTGCATGGCCGCCACCATGTTTTTCCAACAACATTGCTCACAGAAATTTAAATTTGCCCCCATGCCTTCTGGAAGCTTCTGAGAATGCTTAGATCAGTTGTATCTAAAACTTGATTCTAAACATATTTGCTAAATGCAGTCTGAAGCAGTTCTGAGCCAGACCAGATTCATCATAATTATCTCGGAGTAAGTGTGCTTAAGATCTTGCAGGCGAAAATGAAGTGCTAAAGTTGGTTTTTCCTCTTATAATTGTGTGGCATAGCAGCAAACTACTGCAGTAATACTGCATAAGCCTGCAGCTGAAGTTGGAATTTCACAGGGAGCATTTTTTGGTGCTGTTAAATGGCACCTTCATATTCAAAAAATAATATTTCCAATAATTGGAGGAGGCAGATTGCAAATACTGATTTTAATGATAATTTCAGTGCTTAGGCTATCTGCCCAGCAGACATCATTTCATAGCAGACATTATCAAGAATATTTAAGACTAGCATTAAATAACTCACAGGGTGTCCAGAGCTATCTATTGAGAATTCCAGGCAGTACATAATGAGGAGTGGTCAAATATGATATACTGCTAATGTTTTTTAAAGCTGTCATTCTTCAAATAATAGACTGAGCCCAACCCCTGGGGCTACTTAGCCCTAGAAAAAACCAGCCAAAGGATATTCCTTACAAGTAAAAAAAACATTTACCACGGTTAACCAATAATTCTCAGCAGCACATTAGAGAACAAAAGTTTCCTGTGGAGAACACACTGTACCCGCACAGTTCTATCCATTCCTAAATATAAGACTTAAAGGCATCTTGTATCTACAGAAAGCAGTGAAATTACCACTGAAAGTGAGAGTAGGCTTACAAACCTCAGTTAAAATTCTAGTCCTATGTGTCACGGATTAACTTTCTCTGTCGTTCTTACATCAGTCAGAAACCTGAGGCCACATGTGGAACTCCATCTCCCAACAGTCCCAGCCAGTATGATTAATGGGCTCTAAATTAGGATTAGGATTCCTTTTTAAAAATTTGTAAGTTGTGGGAAGCCCACCATTCACTCCTTCTGTGAGGAGAGAAATCAATAGGACATCAAAGATCTACTGATACTGCCATATAATTATGGTTATTATTACCTTTGTCTCAGTTGTTTCATTACGGCGCCCTGTGGATTCTATCAGATTTGTTCTCCGTGCCGCCACACAATGCTTACAGTGCTCCTTCCAACATCTGTTCAAAGGGAGGACAATGCTTCTTGTTCTTCCTCACAATGGGCATCAGGATGTGAGGAGCTCTGCAATCCCTGTTCTCCCTCAAAAAATAATCAGAACCAATGGGGACGCTTTTCATATGGCCAAAAGAGAGCAATGTATTGTACAGAACATTTTGAGTATTAAAACACTCTCCGAAGAGAAACCCAAACTGTTGTCAACAGGAGACAGTTTTGTTTTCTCTTTTAAACAGCCAAACGGGAGTCACTCCTGAGAGGAAGCTTCGTAATCCTAGAGGGCTATGTAAGAAATTGCCTTTGTGCATCTTTGAGCCCGGTTGCCTCATCCTTGCTTCTGATACCCTCACTTCTTTCCTCTGTTGGTTCCACTTTTGTAGGGGGCAAAATGTTTGCAAAGACTACACCCCAAATTTTCCACATATCCCCTATGATGCAATCAGCGCTACCAACCCCTTGAGTTGAACAACAGGCCCTTTGTATCCACAATGAAATGACAGACTTAAACTGGAAGGGATTGGGATGCCGGAGAGCGCCTTAAGAATGTAGGTAAGAATTATGGGGCTGTGAGGAAAGGGCTTTGGCCCTGCAGAAACTGTTAGCAGTCATGTGTCCCTTCTGCAAGGGTATGGCAGACCCTCTCCAGGAAGGCATCCTTGCAGAATGGCTGAGAGAATTTCTTTCCAGATTAGTCTCATTCAATTTAATTTTGTAGGTCATGTCTCTCAATTAGCACATAGCCATTTTAATACTTGTACCCATGTCTGCTTCTTTATTCCACACATACCGTGGCAAACATCTGGTTCAGTTTAACAGTGTTTTTTTTGGGGGGGGGGTTGCCTTACATAGCCCAGCTCACAGCCTTGGGAGGATGCTTACATTATACAACCATCTTTCCTGCATTGACTTAATGGGGTTCCTTGACTGTTTCTCTTCTCTTTTCAAAGACTCCACCTGGGACCAGTGTGCTGTAGCAATGATAATAATACCAAGAGGCTTATAGTACTTGGTGAATCAAATGGGGGTTACATAAGTTAATGCTGGTGGCTGTAAAAGGAAATCATGGAAATGCCCTCTAAACAGGAAAATAGCAGCTATCATGCAAAGATGGATATAGGGCTGCAATCCAGTAGGTAAAGAATAAGAATAACGTCAGAAATAACACTGAAATGTTTCTCAGCATTCTCCAAGGGAGAGCTTTAAATAAATGAGAAACATTAAATTTAAAGGCATAGATTAAAGGTAAAAGATTTCCGAGAGAATTCTGGCATTTCCTCATTTCCCCTTTGGCAAAGCTGCCTTGAGACAAGGACAAATGAGGTCATTTAGTTGCCACACAGTCTATATCAGAAATAAGCCTATTTATAGTTGCAAAGCACAAGCCTAATGAAACATCATTATTGGAGCATTTCAGATGTACAAAACCACTATCTATGCTTATAATATACAGCTGCAAAAAAACAAAGCTCTGTGCTAATTGTCTGATAAATACAATCCCTCCCATGTGATTTAAGTGGAAACTACATTTGTCTAGCTATAAATTGTAACTGAGAACCTAAAGTATCATAAAATGTGCATTAAAAATATTAAATCCTCTATTTTCACCTCTTGTAAACTGGGAGTTCATACTGTCCTCATGCAGTTCAGAGTACTAGCAGCCAAATAACCATTTACTCAATGTTTAAAGTTTTCCTCTTTCAATAACATATTGGCACAACCAATGGTATCTAATGGGCAAAATATTTTCTCTAAATAATGCCCCTCCACACCAAGAAGTGGGACTGTATTCAACTAAATCATACCCAGGGTAGGCCCTTTGAAATCAATGGATTTAAAGTCACAACTAACAAGCTTATTGATTTCAGTGGATGTACTCTGAGTATGGCTTAGCTGGATATGCCATATGTGGTACTGTATTCTGGAAAATGCAAATGGAGTTTCTTTTCCAATGCATAAGAAAAAATAGAAACAGTCACTCAATGGAGCCTTTATAGTTGGCCCAACAACCCAACAGAAGCTGAGGAACATGAAAAATGATGGGGTGGAAACATATTTTAGTCAGAGATTTATTGTATATGTAGGCATAGATCTCATAAATAAAATAATAAATGCACTCCTAGAGATGCTGTGGAGTGAGTTGAACCTTGAAGAACTCAGGCTACAACTTTAACAAGGCATTCTCAGGAATGATTAACAAACTGGTTCCATGGCAAAAAAGAGATGCTGTTTCTAGTAAATAAGGACAGCTGGAACATATGACACACACAAAGACACACACACAAAACAGTAAGAGAATATAATAGTAATTCCTTAAGCTTGGTTTTCTCTGCATTCCTAGAGTATTGGGTTGGGAATTTAGTAGCAAAGATAAAACATACACTCAAGCTAGACTCCAAGTCTTCCTGTAATTCTCTCCTCAACTGACAGTGACACAGCAAGTCCATGAATTGACACAATCAGCAATTACTTTTTATTGAACCAAAAAGGTAATAATTATCAAGGCTACCATCCTATCAAATCTTTCTTAGGAGGAGGCAGACCTAAGTGTGCTTGTTTCTGAGTAAAAATGCATAGGATTAGGCTTCAGGTCACAATCCACTTGTCTATTTATCCTAAACCTAAATCCATAAATTTATCGCTGGCACTTTGGGATTTTGGAGTTTTCACTTTCAAAAAGTTAAAACTTGTCTACCTGAGTCAACACTGATGGCGAACCTATATAAATAGGGGAAGCAGAACAGGGTTGCTTTTGATTTATTTATGTTGTTATATTTTTATTTTTTTAAATGGAAAATTGGGAGTCAGTCAGCGTTTCTGTACTTGCTTTTAAAATACGAATGTTGACTTGAAAGCATCCCTGCAGCTTCCTAAAGTGTGGCTCAGGCAATGCATAGGTAGGAGGTGGAGGAGAAAGAGGGTGTCTTGCTTTTGAAGTTCAGCTACTTGACAGTCACATGCAAAACATTTCAAAGGACAGCACAGTTTGTTCTCATTCCATTCCGACCATTGTGCTCTACTGTTCCTCAGAGTCAGCTGGGCAGCTTTCAAGCTTTTCCTTTCATTTAAGAAGGTAAATTAGGAGTTTTAAATCTTCAGAAGATCAGTCTGCTCTATAGCTCTGTGGAGTGCCTCAGCAAGCAATGAGGAAGGGAAAGAAAATGACATGTTCTAGACTGGCTTTTCTGCTAAAGTCAGCAGTAGGTTTTAAAACCACTTGTATCCTGCCAGGAGGAATTGACTTTGTACTTTAAAAAAAATAAATCTATTTTTAGTCTATTTTAATTCAGCATCATTTGCATTTAATTTTAAGCAAATAATTTGGATAAGATCTTGACATCCTTTCTCAGACAAAAATAACTCTGTGAAGTAAGTTTCCTAATTTCTGTATTCGTTAACTCAAAGGCAACATCAATTTTGCTTGTGCCTATGTAAAGATATAGACTGTATGCTGAATTGGACAGGGAGTATCAGGTATACTGATGATGATTTTTTTTTAAAAAAAAATGGATAATGAGTCTGGGAGGATGCAGGCAGGTGGACAACATATGTGTCTTCCTCAATTTGTTAGTGTTTTTGAAAGATGGGAGAATGGATTGTGGGCAAGATAGTTTTTAACTTGAAGTGCATCTGGGCAAGGAATGTCATTAAGAGGAGAGGCAGTGTAGAAGTAGACAGTGTGCTGGGCTGAGGACGTCCAAGGAGAAATTCCTGCTCTGCTATTAAGCTCGTGAGAGAGCAGAGGCCAGCCATACAGTTTAACCTACCTCACACGGCTGTTGAGAAGAGAAATTTGAGGGAACTGCATATTCACCAATCTATAATGCTTAGAAGAACTCAGGATAGCAATGTGATTTTAAAGAGAGGTATAAATGAAGGCATGGGACGCGGGTGGCACTGTGGTGTAAACCACAGAGCCTAGGGCTTGCCGATCAGAAGGTCGGCGGTTCGAATCCCCATGACGGGGGGAGCTCCCGTTGCTGGGTCCCTGCTCCTGCCAACCTAGCAGTTCGAAAGCACATCCAAGTGCAAGTAGATAAATAGGTACCACTCTGGCAGGAAGGTAAACGGAGTTTCCCTGTGCTGCTGTGGTTCGCCAGAAGTGGCTTAGTCATGCTGGCCACATGACCTGGAAGCTGTACGCCGGCTCCCTCGGCCAGTAAAGCAAGATGAGTGCTGCAACCCCAGAGTCGGCCACGACTGGACCTAATGGTCCGGGGTACCTTTATCTTTTATAAATGAAGGCAAGAGTGAAGAAAGAGTTATTGCTACATATACATGTAAGTTGTGTAGAAAGAGGGAAGGGGAGAGAGGAATGACATTTCCCTGGGAATTTTAAGGCTGTCCACTTTATGGATGGGATCAGTTTAAAGCCCAACAGGAAAGCAAGGGGTGTGAAAATTGTTCTCTTCATGTTGACAGGATGGGAATGTCATGGAAGTCAAGTAGAAGAAAGCTTTCACATATAACCCATGATGTTAGGCCCAGGATAGCTACAATGTTCATAGATATGAATATTGCTGAAGCATTTTATTTAGGCAAAGAGTCAGTGATGTGCCTGCTTTTTAAAGAACACACTTCTCTCTAAATAAAACTAGATCTTTTTTCATTTAACTACCTGTTGTACAACACAATTTCCCAATCCCACTCACACTCTCTTCATAGGTTGAACCACACCACAATAATTCAATAGCACTCAGCCGTACTAAGAACACGTAAGATATGAATTATTGCCACATAATTCACATGCTGTCATGTCTTGTTGCTTAATTATCCCTTTGTCAGTCACACCCACTACTGCTGCTAGAGCTGGAGGAACCGGCGTGACAGGTAAAAATGTAGGCAAGTTGTGACCTAATAAATTGTACTTGCGTGTGTGTGTAAAATAAAGCCAGCCAACAGTAAAATCTATTTTCCAGTAGGGGTTTGTAACGTGGTATGTGTGACACTTGCCCATTCCTTCATAGACTGACTGGGCCAGGGTTGAAAAAATAAAGTAACATAAGAGAAAAAGCTTCCCCAACTCACAAAAAGCTGAGTGTCATCAATGAGACAGGGAGGGCATAGGGTTGCCATACATCCAGGAAATCATGGACATGTCCTCTTTGGGGGGGGGGCAACATGCCCATCTGGGGGATTTTTACATTTTAAAGGAAATGTCCAGTTTTGGGGGGATTGATTTATTTATAGAAGTTGGGCACGGGTAGCTTGGGCTCAGGCTACTCTGCATGTTGCAACTGCTGCCAGCCCGAGCCAGGGCTTGGGTTGGCAGCAGGCTCGGACTGTCCTCTTTTATGTGCTTCAAGATATGGCAACCCTTTACTTATTAAATAAATAAATGCCAGTGTTCTGGTTTCAGCTGATGAAAATGAGCATGTGAAAAGTCTGAGCATGGCCACTCAGGGACTTACGAAGTGGCTGCTACAAGAACATAATGCCAGTTGAGGAAGAAAGGATTTAGGCAAGCACCTTAAGAGGAAAGGGGAAGTAATGACCCAAAGCATGCGGACTTCAAGCTCTGATTTTGATAGTTGGGCAGGACAACCCACCTGTCAATCATGGGGCACCATAGAGCTTGGAAAGGATATTAAGCAGGATGGGAACTCAAGATCCAAAGCGTGGAGTCATTTTGTAGATTTGTTTGTTCCAGTTGTTTGAAGGGTGTCCACTCTATACAAGGTCTATACAAGATTGCATTTGTCTATACTTTTACACTGTTTAGTATAATCAAAATGTCCAAGCAGATTACCTAGAGAATAATATAAGTGCAAATTGTAATATTCAATACAATTCCTAAAAGGTAGGTAAAAACAGAATAAAACTATGCACCACAGTGAGCAGTGCACAAAACAGTATTAAAAACAAAGAGGCAGAGACCAGGACAGCCACAGCTAAGCAGAGATGGTTTAAAGAAGCATTTAAAGATTAATTTTGTCTCACACATTACACAAGGGAAGGCATTCCAGAGGGTGGGTGCTATTAACCAGAAGGTCCACTTCCACACTGTCCCCAAGTGACAGTCCACTGGTAATGGAATGACCAGCAGGGACTCCTTGGAATATCTTGGATATTGGCTTGGTTTGTACTTTGGTGGGTGTTCTGTGGCATTTGAGGCCACTATGGTGATTTCTGTAATTCTATCATTTAGTGTGCACATTTTCAAAACCCTAGTCATGATGACTGGTAATATTGAAACATTAGGATTCAAATTTTAAAGACTCTTCTTTTTTTAATACTTGCCCATCCTTGCTATGAATGAAGATTGAACACAGTGAGTGGGGAAGGAGCAATATAACCAAAACTATCACTTGCTTTCTTAACAATTAATGTGCTTTTTTAAAATGCAATCCAACACTAACAGTTTAAGATTTATTTATTTTTAAACTTTGTATGAAAGTCGCTTTGGAAAGCTCAGTTCCTTTCCAAGAACTGAATGTCAAGAGCCTAGTACTATTGTTAAGCAGCACAATCACAGATAAGCTTTCATATGAATGCTCAATTGTATCCTCAAAATACTCATCCAGTTCCTGCTCTGTGAAATTAAAAGGTTTTCTCAGCAACCTATATCATAGCATAGCCAATCAACAGTTCCAGCATTAGTATGTCATTCCTATAAGCTCTTCTTTGATTCAGTGACTTTTTAAAGAAAGCATAAGGAATTTATCAACAGTGTCAATGACCCTCTATATGACTGTAGCTCTTAATTTCTAAAGATTATTTTTTTTAAAAAAACAAAAAACCTCCTATACAATTCATCCTTCATAGTTTTTTCTATGCCAAGACTTTAACTTCCTTGACTTGTGTGACAATAACTCTTTAGGAAACAAAATCATCCTTATAAATGGAGGTTTATAAAGACCATGGCACTGAGATTTAAATAGCCAGTTACAAACTGTTCCTATAGATTAGTTTCATTCCAACAGACACATACCATTTATTGGCATGGCTCCCGAGTGGTCTGTGTGTGACTGGAATTGCTTTTACTCCATTCCATAACTGGTGAATAAACTACCTGAGAATTTCACAATGAGAATCCAGATTCTTACCTGGAAAAGAGGTGAGAATCTTTACATAGCTCATTGCTGACTTGGCCTTGTGATGAAGAACAAAGATGATCAAATCACAGATTAAATCCCTGTACACTGAGTATAGGAATGGACAAATAAGTCAACTTCAGTTTCTCTCAGGATCTCATTTTTCCATTCTTAAATTCAGTTCTCCATGTTTCTAATTATTTTGTTTTTCTTTTTTAATCCTCATGAAATTTTTAGTAGTGATGTCTCC